CGACACTGTTTATCCTTGCTTCTCACGCGGAATTCCAGTCAGCTTGGTGGACTTTCTTCGGCCGTTTTTAGAGGTTGATAGTCCTCAGTAAAGATCTTTCGTGGGAAGACAGATGCAGATAGTGAATGACCTGCAAAATTGGCGAGCATTTTACTTAGCCCTGCACCGCATTGATGACTTTATCGTCTTGAGTGAATGCCCAGCTGAACTGCAGGCGAGCCTTGGCGTATTGACCATGGCACATTACTTGTCCGACCAAAAACCAAACAGAGAAGTCAATTTTATCTACCTGAGACCTAAATGTGCAACTCAGACCGGTCGTTGTAAACGGTGAACAAGTCTTTCAAACTATGCCCTTACAATGTTCCAGATAAGCATTTCCGACAACTAATCGAGACGGCTGTCATCGCCAGAAGGGATAACACAGTTTTGCAGTCTTTTGTGATGACGTCACAAAATCGACTTCAAAAAGTAGATCTGTGCACAAAATGTGACGGCCGTCTGAAGGATGCCAACTAATGCATGCAAAACCGGGCCGTACTCAGTTAACGCTCCGCGCGGTTCACCCTAACTTTGGTTGATTATAAGGCATCCATTGGCAATTGCAGAGATTATTCACTCTTCCGAAATCGCCCAACAAGGACCGAGCGAATTCAATCATCTGCATACCGATTTGGCTTTCAAGGGAGACTCTGAATCCGTCGTTTGTACTGTTTTACCTCAACTGAATGTGCCGCATTCGGTCGCCCCACGTTCGACACTATTGGTAACTACACTATTGGTAACTACACTCTGAAATTGCCAACGTGTTCAGGATGACGCTTGGAAGGCTGTTGAAAGCCCATATAGTAACTGTTTAGACTAATGCTGGTCCCTTGTGGTCGCATATCGTTCGGGGTCACGACCATTTTTAGCCGAGAAAGGTAGCACCTAGAGATATGAGTACAGCGGATTCGTCCTCACAGACAAGACGGTCAACTTAGAGTACACTAAAGAACGTCTTTCTCTCGTGCATTCGGTGGACCCGAAAAATTTTCCTCCTGAAACCTTCCTTTATGAAAAACCTGGTTGACAACTCCTTATCTGGATTGTCCGCACCGAGGGCTACTCACCAGGCTCGCTTTTTGCTCTCATTATGGTTCATCAACGCACAGAAATTTGGCAAGATTTGAGTTTTAAACGCACTATACTCAAAACCAGTGTTTTACCGCATACGTTTGAACGCATCTGAATCATCACACCTCACCAGGTTGAAAAGTTTTAATTGGGGAATGATTCCTGAAATACACTCATTTGCAAATCAATTTGGTTTTCACGAAAGACTCAACTGAGTTTGTCGTTTATGATATATAAAATTATTTTTAAAGTTTTGATCCTTCTATATGAGTAGTCTGACTATGAGTAGTCTATGAGTAGTCTGACTGTGATACATTACCGACTAGTTTGTAGTCACCACTACTGAGAACTTTGAATCAATCTTTTTTCAGACCAACCCAGCATGTCCAAACTGAGGTTCAGTATTTGGAATCGTGTTTAGAACGTGTGTTGCTCCACGGTCAGAAATCTCGTTGGCGATTGACAGCGACGTCAGAACATTTGTCTAGTCATTCAGTGGTGTTTACAGGACTGTGCTTCGTCCAAATGTTGGGAACTCGTCGGATTTTATGAATACCTTTCAGTGTTGCAAAGGGTGGCTATTGGATCAGAACGGGAGGGTGAAACGTGTAAATCACTTGACCAGTAAGGCAAACCTTCTCAATGTGAATTCAGTTCATATAAGGGAGTTTTTCACAATAAGTGTTCACCCCTTCCAAAGATTCACCGGCGAGATTGCAGTCTGCGTCTTCCTAGTCTGGAGGTCGAACAGTTTACCTCGGAGATGCATAGTAATGATTAAAAGTATGCTTATATGTTACTCGTCCTTCAATTCAGAGGTGCATGTCACGTTTCTGGCGTTTACCTGATTTACTGAACGTCATATGCGTTGCCGAATATTGTGTGTGTGTGTAATCAGGTATCCTCTTCTTGTTTGAGTATCGCGGCAGAACAGCTCAGCGTGCAGCACTGGGAGTGAAGTAATCTGGACGTTCGGAACGGGAAATTTCACTTTTCGATGGAGATTTTATCTGCTGAAAATTCCGGAGGCACTGTGCATCTGTTGGGAACCATGAACCGCGCATCTAACGAAACCCTAGTCGGGAGTTTCGAATCCACCACTTTCTGACTAACAGATGAACACTTAACGAGCGACTAGTCATTAGTAGTATGGTTGAGTCGCAAGAATAAGGTTCATACTACTAGCCTGGGTTCGAAACTTCCTAAAGTTTCGTGAGATGCGCACTGCCGGTGATTCCTAACCAGGATTCCCAAACAGCTGTGCGGTGCTCGTGAACTTTTCGGCATAGATTAGCTTTATTCACGGGAGGAACTTTCCCAAATCTCCTCGCATTATCAATAATTTTTTGGTAATAAACGGGTAATAAAAGCGGAGCAATCCAAATTTCCGAGGACTAGCATTTGTTCTATATACAAGACCGACGTAATCAGGCTAGTTAATCCCGAGGCCGAACGGGACAAAAAATAAAACAAGGAAATAACATCATATTTTCCTGATGGAACACTACTCAACGTCGGTTTACTCTTCTTGCAGCCCATCCGTTAGGCCCATTCTCCGGGTTTTCGTGAGCCTCATTTGCAACTCGACCAGTGTCCACTTGTAAACCCTGTTTAATGCCCGCATTAGACGAGAGTACGTCGGTGAGAGTGCCCTGTGATCCTGATTAAGCGGCCTCCTCAATATTGTAATACATTATATAGTATAAAATAATTAGCGACACAGGCGTTGATCACAAGAGACGCTCACAAATGTTCAACGTAGAAACTATACATATTCATACTGTCTAACCGGAGAGGGAGTGTGTACCGTTTGGCGTTGGAACATCCTCAGGTGATCGAATGGCCCAAAGTTCACTGGGTGACATAGCATTGAGCGATGTAGATGAAGAGAGGATGCGAGGCGAATTATTGACTGTATATTCCAAGTGTTGACCGTCTGTTATTATCAGTAACGTTCCAATAGTTACCTAAAAGTTTATTGTGAAGTTGGTTCCCTACTATTTCCCAAGTGAGCAAAATGCACATTTGGCCTGAAATGATTCAGTACATCTCTTACAATGTTGGCGAAGCGCTCCCCGTTTATGTACGTTGTGGATGTATAGGGTGCACAATCGCTTGCGAACCAAGTTGTGAAATTACTTTGCTGTTTCTATGACCACGTCTTTTCTGAAGGTGCCACTGCGAGCATCGAAATTTCAGTGCTACGGCCAAATGCACCACAGTAGAACGCACTGCGTACGCTCAAAATCGTAAATTTTCCACTGAGTAGAACGATGTGCGCAAATCAGTCGATTTTTTTATCCCTTCAGTGACTTCTAGTTGGGTTGAGCTACACTCAGTACGTCCGTCAAAGGCAACCACAATTGGCTCTTTCCAAGTCACGAGTAGAATCAATCAATCTCAGCAAACTTTAAAACAGTGGTATTAGCAAAAACCTTGACTTGTTTTTCTCTGGTCACGTGATGGCATTCGAAATGAGCTCTGTTCAGGCACTATATACTTGCTGTCGTTGCGTGAACAATGTTCGACCGAATTTCGATGTAGGAGCTAACGTCGGTCGATCAAACTGAAACAACAATTTAGCCGTGCCGGCAGCATTTTTTCAGGCTCTCCCATTTCGGCTTGAATCTGAGCAACCACTCAACCGGAAAACGAAGTAATTCCATTTCTTGTATTTTCAAAAGCATCATCTGAGAAATCCTATCAGATTGGCCCTGCGTAACCGAGGCTAAATTTAATCTCGTTAAGTCCCTTTGATTATCGCAAAGTTCTGGCTACAATGGGGGTTTGTTAAAACAAAGAACAGACAACACGAACTTTAAATTTAATGGAGACGCTATAGGAAAACAGAAAAACTTAACGCGATTCTCATGAGACTACTGAGAGCTCCTCGACAGCCCACAAACTGAATATCATACCAGCTGAAACATAAGCCGGCCTGGTGCAGCACATTCAGTTGCCTGGAAACATCATAAACGAGATATTCAGCTGGGTTCCAAATTAGTTTGCAGCTGAGTGTATATTCGCTAATTTCCTGCAATTCGTCTCAAGTAGAACATAAGGTTGACGGAAACCCGGGGACTGCGCCTACCTGATGAGTCCAAAGTAGGGCGAAACCGGTTGTGGGGTGTGGAAGAATTTTCAGCAACCTCATGAGTAGTGCACTACGAAATTACATGTATCGCGATATCTCGAATATCGTGGCGACTGAAACCTGAGGCGCCTGTGTGCAGCACATTCAGTTACTTATGAACATCATAAACGAAGGATTCAGTTGGGTTCCAGGTGAGTCTTTCGTTAAAACAAATTGTCATGTTCTACTTGTCCTACAAATTCGTCGACACATAGGTTCTTGAGCACCGGGATCGAAGAAGCCGAGCTGCTTAAGGTCAGGTTAGACAAGGATGAAAATCAGGTGAATGGATAGGTTGTAACTGACTAGATCAGTGACGGGTGCTGCTGAAAGGCTAACGTGCTTTTCAAATCCGACCCTTTCATTCATCTAACTGCACCAGGAAATCTGAGAAGTAGCTAACTTGAACCAACTACTTCATGGTACCCTTGAGCTGAATGGAGACAGAACGTCACAGTCTAAACAGAACATACTATTCAGAAAGTTGCTAAAAAGTCTTTGACAGCTCACGACTGGTTTCGTTCATTTTGGGGCTCATCAGGTAGATGCAGTCGCCGAGCTTCTGTCGACGTTCGTTCAACCCAAATTGGACAGAACTCGACAAATACACCCATTGGTATACCAACTGGGGTTTCACGGAAGGCTCAGTTGAGTCTCTCATTTAGGACATTCTTCAACTGGATTGCTGTCCAAGAGAAATTCAGTGGAGCCTCCAGTTAAGACCAGACTAGTGTACAAACGAGCTTATTTATCACGTCCACTTCGGGTTCAAGTACAGCATGAGGTTGAGTGAAACTCGGGGACTGCGCCTAACTGATGAATCCCAAGAAGGGTGAAGCCGTTCGTGGGTTGTCGAAGGGTCTTCTTTAACCCCATGCTCTTTCAGCAGTGGAAAGGTTTCAAAGTCCTGAGGGAGGTTTTCTTCGGTGTATGAGATCGCTCTGAGAGGTCGGTGCTATCTCGAATGTCCTACCATCTTTGTGCAGCACGTCCAGTCGAAGATGAACATCATACACGAGAGCTTCGACTGGGTTCCAGGTTTCTCCCGTAAGAAACTGGTATGCAAATGAGTGCTTCGCGAGTGCTGTCACTTGGTGGTGTCCAGCCAGCACAGGGAAGTAGGTCTGGATATGGTGCTGTTGGCTCAGCGCCAGATGTATTTCTAAACGCATGCGATACAGCACCATAGTCGGCTCGCAAAACAGACCAATTAATGGGGTGAATGCGTGCGTAGTACTAGTGACCAATCAAACGCTGAACTGCTGCGTAGGCTGATTAGTCACGAGCACCACAAAGCCTGCAGCGTTAGTCAGCCCTGAGTGCAAGATTCTCATTGGTTCCTTCAACCGGAGGTAATGCGGCGAATACCGGGCCGGCAGTCCAGCGGAATTTCCGGCTCACACTCCACTACGCGAATAGGGTGCATGACTTGAGCGTTTACGCATAGTTGGATGCTTCTAACTCATGACTGGGAACTCGAAATCAAACAGGACCTCGTGAATTTCATTAGTCTGACGACCTTTTCCAAAGCGGCAGTTTTTACGCAAGCATGGAAGTATTGAATACGGACGAAAAAGGCGACATGCGTTCGTTCATCTGGAGTTTACACTTACACATTCATGCAAGTCTGATGTAAGTCCTACACATGATGTACTGAACACTTACATATTTACGTCTTCAGACCTCAGTTTTTTTCATTACATTTTTACAGCTTTCGTTGACGCAATGAGTGCGTCCGCCCACTGTTAAGAAATAAGATAAACAATAGAATAGGAAAAATAAATAGCCATTCGGGGGTAACACGTTTTCAGTACCTAGCTGCCGTGCTATCGAAACGAGGCACGTGGACTAAGCTAGTGCCACACTGCCCAAGCCTAGACAGGAGTAGTTGACCTGCTGCAATGGGGTTCAAACCACAGACCGTCCGATCAGTAAGTTCTCGAGCTCAAATAGGAAAAATGCGTTCTCTTACTTTCGCGAACGTAAATTTGCAAACCAACCTGGTCTTAACGGGAGACTCAAGTGCATCCCAGGTGAATTTCTCATCTATGATGAGACTGGTCGTGGGTTTTTTCAGCAACTCTATGAGTAGTATGTTACGTCTAGGTACTATTCTGTTGAAAATTTGGCAAAAGAAACGAGGGCTCTGGATGATAAGGTAATTTCACTGAAGGGATGCATGAAATCCAAAAGATCGGGTGGCAGGCGCAACGCACTACTGACTTTTGGTATGAGTATCTAGTGAACACTTTTCCGGGTGACGTGAATCACTGACAGATTTCTGTGGCTCCATGAGTAGTAGCGTTTGAAGGGTCATTTCTGAAGCATCTTAAAGCTATGCTGCTGATCAGGACTATGCAGGCAATTAATGCGATAAATGCCTGGAAGAACTGCCAAGTTGGTCTATTCAATCACCTCCGTTGTTGTAGCGTGCTGATGACCCAGTGGTTAGAGCGCGAAGTTACCGACCGGAAGGTCCGTGGTTCGAACCCGACCTCTTCATCTCGATTTCCCCTGTCTAGGCTTGGGCAACCTGGCAGTATCCCACCCCTCGTGCTTCCTTCGGGTGGCATGGCAGTTAGGCATCGAAAGGGTGCTACAGCGAAACAGCTATGGCGTCTCCCAAAGAATATTGGGGAACAATTCTTCGAATATGGAGACTGTTGTTTGGTGAGGTTTGATGGATTATCTCATGTCCCAGCGCGTGTCGTAGATCAGCGTTTGAATTCAACTCAGACACTAAAGCGATAGGTCTTTAAGGGAAGTGCCTGTAAAAAATCCAAGACCAACCATTTGATAAACTTGACAAAGGTTGAAGGTGCTTTTCAAAGTTGTTAAAATGAAACACTTAGCTGTTCGGTTTCGAAGTTGGTAAATATTCCTTGTCGAAAAAACAAGTTTAAAAACGTTGACAAACGTTGAAATTCAGTGGTAGTAGTGAGGGAGGTGTTCTGTCCTCTGTGATGCTGTCCGAATATATACTTATACCACTGAGATTTACCGTTTCGTTTGGTTGGCTGGCCACAAGTATTCACTTGATCACTGGAAATGGTGAACTTCACTCATAGTACGGATGAGTTGAACATGATTCGCTCAAATCGGACAACTACAACACAGTGCAAATCCACCCTTCTGGAGGTAGTTGAAATTGATCCTACAAGTAAGCCACGTGACCCTCCCTGTGATTGGCTAGAGACAATGAACGGTATGGCAGCTGACCAATCGACGGTAGCGTCCATTCCGTCAATTGCTATGTTGTCCAGCTGATTGTTGGAGGTGTAAGCACCCCGGGTGTTCCTTGTAGGCCAGCCCTAGCTCTCTTTATCTTGTCCTGAGGAATTCATTACTTTGAAGTCCTACGACACCCAATGTACACTCTTTGTTTTCTCATCTGGTATATATTATTCATTTTTGTTCGTTTAATTTCCCAAAACTTCTCTCTTGATAAACTGGTGATTAAACGAATCAAGCGGCGACTAGTGTTAAACTATCGATTCTTCGCATTACAGCTAACGTCTGGAAAGTTATCTGCTCAAAATGAACGCTGTTCAGAACTATCATTCGATGGGCACCATTCCGCAACCGATCCAACAACACTATTCATTCACCGCCTCGATAGGACGTCGTTCAAAAAGCTGCAACGCAACCAGGACTACAGAATTCTCGGTGAATCATCGTTCGTCACTGGAAGCTAGCAGTGCTGTCAGCAGCGGATACTGGGAGGATTACGAGTCACTGGGCCAAAGCGCCAGTGGAAGCGCAAACCTGGCATGCGTGACACGATATGAGACTCCAAACACAGCGACCGCAGTCAGACAACAACCAACTGGTCTTTCCATCGATTACATGCCTTCGGGGGCGAATTCTGCTTATCTTTCGGAAAACCTTCATTGTCCGACATCCGATGAGTGTCCTAGCGGTTGGAGGCAACTGACGTTCGAGCGAAGGCTAACTAACGGTCTGCAAGAGGGATCACCCGCGGACCGACCGTACAAAGTCTTGGATGAAGCGTTTGGACCCATACCAAAATCTCTGTCTTCAGACATGGCTTCAACGTATGTGAGGTCTCTTGAGGACGTAACTGAAGCACCTGTGAGTAACTGATTGGTTTCCGTAGCTGTTTCACAAATCAAATGCTATGTGGCTGAGCCAAAACTACGGAGGTTTGAGCTGACTTTATCAGTGAAATGCTCGTTAATATTTCGCCAAAAATAACCACTGATTTTTTTTACTTCCTCCAACAGAACATTTTTTGTACGAAACTTGTCCCGGTTTTCGGACAAATTGGTAAACACAGTTATCCTTTCGTTTACACCCAATTGATAAGAATAGACAGACGTTTCGGTCTACAAAGCCTAATCTTCAACGACTTTAGGGCGGTGTTACAGAAACGCATCAGTCGTCTCGCAAGCCAGCCGCCGGAGCGGCAGCTGACTTTATCGAGGAAGCGATGTGCGGACTAAGTGACTGGAATGACATGAGACAGACTAGCCATTGCGTTCAGTGTCCAGGATAAAACTAAGAGGAAATGGTCATCACCGCGCTTGCTTTCCGATACCACAAAACAGTTGGAACGTGCAGGGTGAACTTTGGAAAAGGTGCTGTGTGGTCGGTCCGCATTCCATTTATTCTGAGAACGCGTGTATGTATGTAGGGTTCACCTGGACAGTTAAATCAATACAGCTCTAACAAATGAAGCTTTGTGAAGATTTCGTTCTGTAAGCGAAGCCGATCTATGCCGAGAAGCACTGTACAACTGTTTCATCCTTATTGAGAATCATCAGCAGTGCGCATCTCACGAAACTCCAAAGAGTCTCTAACCCGCGACCTCCCGGCTAGTAGTTTGAACCCTTAACCGTTCGGCCAAGAGCAGCTGATCAGCAGTGTGGGGCGAGACGAACCAAGTGATTAGAGCGCGTATTCACGGACCGTGGTTCGAACCCGACCTCTGCCTCTCGACTTCCCTTGTCTAGGCTTGGGCAACCTGGCAGTATCTCAGCCCTCGTACTTCCTTCGGGTGGCATGGCAGTTGGGCACCGAAGGAGTGCTACAGCTGAAGGTTTTTTTTACGATCAGCAGTGTGATTAGATCGAACTTAGACAGGATGTAGCGCCGCTCATCCTTCAATCACGGGATCCACATCACGTGGTCACACGTGTTGACTGGCTTCTCGTGGACATAAGGAATTCAACTCACCGGTGCTCCACTATTCGTTCTGTACCTGATGAGTGTTTGCGCCACTGTAAACAAATTAATGAAACAACATTCAGTTAGTAGAACAGAGGAGGATTAGTTCCACAAGTGAAACCTGAGGAGTCCTCACTCGAGGTGCCAGGCAATACATATGACCGCGTGACGTGAATTCGGTGATTGAAGGATGAGTGGCACTATATCCCGTCTAAGTGCGAGTTAACCCTACTGCCGATTAGACATTCGTGGCTGAACGGTTAGTTGTTCAAACTACTTGTCAGGAAGTTGTTGGCTCGAAACTTCTCGGCATTTCCTCAGATTCGCCGTGCTAGTGATTCCTAATCAGACTGAAACAGCTATTCATTGCATAAACTGTCCTCGCTCGCTCACTCACAAAACAAAGTCTCATTTGAAAATATGTTTTATTTTCTTTATTAAAGATGACAGGGTTAGGAAACGATCACTCAACAGAGGTGTAGACCCTTGTCCATGTTGTATCGTGGGTGGCCGTCTGTTGGGTTACGCCTGAACTGAGCCTGCCAGACTACGCGATAGGGAGAAGACAGAGAACTCGGGACACGGCTGTATTGTCAGGACAAAACATACAGAGCTTCTGCGTAAATATATAGGATGACTAATAGGCCAAATATGGTCGTTCACTTGCTCGTTCTGTACAGCCAATGGCGGTGTTCCGGTCGTGAACACTTTCAAGCCCACTACGCTGGTCGTATGTTGCTAAGCCGTGTTTGGTGGGAGCCGCCAACTCACCTGCTTTCTGGACGTGTCATACCGATGGTGACCTTGGGGATGCGTCACTCTCTGCACATGTACTTTTTCTTCTGTCTGGGTGCGTCCTGACGGTCCACAAAAACTACTCAGTGTTGCATGCAATATTGAGTAGTCAGGTTAGCGAACTTTGCTTGCACAAGGAAAAAAGAGCCCAATTTGGTACCATCCATTGCGAGAGATGCAGACTCACAAAATAGTTTCCAAGGTCCAACGCAGATGAAGTGTATTCGTTGTTGTGGTACTCGGAGGGGCCGTCGTCATCTAGAGAACAACCATTGTGAACGAGTATCTCACTATGAATGTTTTTTCACTGTAGGTTGATTCCGACCTCTAAATGACAAGCAAGCTCTCCACACTTTAGGACCAGAGAGAGAGGGGGAAGCCAAAATCAATAGCAAGAACTGGATCGCCCACTTGACGTTGACCAAATTCGTATCACTTTCATCCTAAACGCTTGGTCTTATTGGATAAGCCTGAAACTAAAGCTGGGTGATCTCCCGATTGCATTTCATTTTTGTGGAAGCTGAAACCTAGGTGTACTTTTAACTAAGCCTTAAAGAGATCTCATTAACCTTTTGCAATTTGATAAGGCATGTGTATGGTACTGTGTTGGAATATTGTAGCTCGGGTATATTAGTTGGTAGCTGATCAGGTGGCCGTTGATCTGTTCGCCGAGCTTGGCAATTGATTTGCAAACGTTTCGTCACCATTCGAGGTGACATCTTCAGTGCGCTCTCGGTTGGGTAGTTCCTCTCTTCGTGTCTACGTTTATATAGTCTAAAAAAGAGCGGCCTTTGCGCTGTAACCTGGATTCTGGTTGGTCCGACCTTAATCCTGCCTACCATCCTCTGAGGACAAAGGAAATCTAGAACTACAGAACCCGAGGCCAAACAAGGACTCAAAGAAGAAATCAATAGAACAGCGAACTACTAAGAATAGGAGGCACGCCACAAACCAACAGAGAAGCCGACCACGACATAATACAGCTCAAGAACGGGCCAACCGAAAGAGACAACAATGGACGGTAATTTCAACAGTAGCGTGCCTGTAAGAAGCAATAAATACAAACCACAACTCAACACAGATTAAGATCGGACCAACCAGAATCCAGGTTACAGCGCAGAGTCTGCTCTTTTTTAGACTATATAAACGCAGGCACGAAGAGAGGAACTACCCAACCAACAGCGCACTGAAGATGTTTCCTCGAATGGTGACGAAACGTTTGCAAATCAATTGCCAATCTCGGCGAACAGATCAACAGCCACCTGATCAATTCCCAAGGCATGTGTATGTTGACTCAGCGAATGGTCTTCTTTGAAAAGTCACCGTTGGTATCGACAGTCGATAATCCCGATGCATGACAAGCATTTTACCGGTACAACTAGCAGTTCAAAAGAAACTGTTCGTGGGTTTCCTGTGCGTTTCACTTTGGTTAATCCAAGAATCACTCCTGGTATCCTTTATGACTGTAATGTTCAACCATTCGATAGTCAAGAAAATGGTTCGAAGTACACTCTAATTGGCCAGTGCAAGTGGTAATTCTTTGACCTGGTACAGTCATATAGTTGTATCGCTGCTAGGATATTAATTCATTCGGTCTAACTAGACTTAGCTGAGGAGTTGTGATGACACACAATCAAGGTCACCACAGACATCAGAAGCACGCTGCCTCTGGCTACCTCACCAAGGAAGCGTGTGGTTCGTTCGGCTCTGAATACCCATGAGTGACACACTGTTGATAAACATCAGTTGACCTCCCGGCTCTTGATACTTTTCCAGTAGATTATGCTAACTTGAATTTTGTGGTCTAGCAGGTGCTCCCAACAGATCATGGCTTGTTTACCAAGTTTCACTCCAGATGTTCGACAGCGCCGGAATGAATGGCGATCACAAATTTCCCGATGAACTAGCTCGACTTGAGACTACTGTACACGCATTGATGATAAGGTTGATGACCAGCTTAACTGAACTTGTGAAATACCATTACAGCTGTAACACTATCAGGCAGTCAGTTCTACTGGTGTATGAAGTAAGATCCACCATTGTGAATAGATATTTGTGTCCCAGCTGTAAGAACCCACAAGATGTGCAGTGTGAAAATGGAAAGTTGCACCGTTTGTGAAAGCTTTCTGTGGTAGTTGAAATCACAGATGGTTGGTTGGTTGGTGTCATAGCTGCTGATTCGTCAATCTGTGGCATCTGCTGCTGACCCGCTCCAGTGCCTAATGCCCGAGAAAAAAAGACTCACTCAAGGGAACACAACAGCTATATCCCGAACAAGCGAGTGCGTGAGCAAACGTTACAACGGCCCCACGCTATTTAAAGGGTACTTTTTGACATTGTTCCAGGCTGTCTGATGGGCGTTATTGAACACCCATCAACATCGATCGTGCTTCTATTAAATGCNATCACATTCGGTCGTGCTTCTGTGGCGTGCATGAACACTCATCAGCTTTTGCTGAATTGATTGAATGATTGACTGGCCTGGATGCTTGCCAGCTTTCCTGTTGAGATTTTGGTGGAGCAGTAGGTTCCTGGCGTCCTGAGGCTACTTTCAGGAATCAGACCTTCCCGATATATAGTTGATTGAACGACTCCTTGTAGTTGCCCTCACAAAACACTACTCTTTAGGATGCTGAAAAACCCTGGACAACTTACAAGCAGTTTTGTTCCTCGGAAGCATCAAATAGGCGCGGTCCCTGAATTACCGTCAACCTCATGTCCCACGTGAATCAAACTCAGAAGCAATTGACGAAATATACATATTTTCACACTAATTTTGTGTTGGCTACAGATTCAACGGAATCCCTGCTGCATCTCTTCTGCATTATATTCTTCGAATTTATAGTTATTTGTAGTTATTTTCTAATTATTTGATTTCGCAGTCAAATATGAGACAATACAAAGGACCGATGCGTATTACAAAGTTTTGAAAACGGTGTATAACGCAGTGTCACTGCACAGTTTGGTCTGAAATATCACTAAATAGAAGGAATTACGCGTAAAACAAGACGAATGATCCGAACACGAGATTCATCAGACACATTGCTACCTAGGTCATACGAATAAGGGGCCGCGGATTTTTAGAATTTCGGGCTTAAGAACGTGATATTAACTTGATTTAAGGTTATTAGTAACTCCTCCCGAAAGCCAGCGACCTAATGGCTTAGCGCCGCCACCGCCTATTGTCACGTGGTCGGACCGTTTTGAGCTTGACAAGGTGACGTTCTCGCATGATTTGAAAGAATTCCATGACCTTTTAAGTGTGTTGGATTAATGCATCGCACGTGTTTTGTGCGGAGATTAATTCTGGCTGAAGTTCTTTTCAGATGCACGGCGGGTTCATCAGAACGGAATGAATGATCGGAGTCTGTAGACATTAGGCTTTGCAGAACATACGTTCAGCTGTTCAGCTGTAGCACCTTCCGATGCCTAACTGTCATGCCACCCGAAGGTTGCATGAGGGCTGGGATACTGCCAGGTTGCCCAAGCCTAGACAGGGGAAGTCGGGTTCGAACCACGGACCTTCCGGTCAGTAAATTCGCGCCCTAACCACTCTGGCCATCTCGCCCTTACAGGACATGCGGCTGCACGAAGGTGGCAAACCCAGTATGCACTTCTAACTAATTTTCTCCTGTGATTTATTTTGGAATCGAATCGAGGAAAGAGGCAGCTGTTACTTTTTCTGAATCATCCGCAGTTTGCTTTGGAAATAGCAAGAAAGGTAGAGGATCTCACAAGTGTCCTTATCTTTTTGTAGTAAACGTAACTTTGTGTTTCATTTGTGCACCAAATTTTATTCTATTGGCTAGGACGTGATGGGTCTCCCGAAGGTCTCGTTCAACCCGTTTTCCATTGTAACGAATCCAAACACCGTAGGTGTATCGACTAAGTTCCTCTGTGACAGGCCGCAACTTAAAGAGCATGCTGTCATCAACCTACACATCGTACTGACATGGGACTGAGTGAGACATGTAGAGAGACAGAGAGAGAGAGAGAGAGAGAGAGAGAGAGAGATCCACAACGATTCCAACTCCTGGAACACTTGTGTTCAGATAAAAAGAACGTGGCACGGAGTTCGCAAAAGATCGGGAATCTTCTGCTGTGACCATGCATAGATTTGGGCAAACAATTGCTGTAGAAAGCTGTCATTACAAATTGGACGGCGTTTTAAGAAAGCCAAATGTTTACTTGTTTTAACAAAAGGTTTCTGATCTACCAAACTGTTACTTGGTTTCCAACACCCGTAGAGAAGCTACTCGGATCTTTTATGTTCAAATTAAAAAAATGCGTGCTCTGAAATTCATTGTTTCGCTGCTGTTGACAGACTAACGGGACCCATCAAATGACATGAGCCTTGTTGAGCAAGGGGACCCCACCTAAACAACCAATGAATTAATTTATTGCCTATAAAAAGAGATAAGGCTATTTTTGGTGTTGAGTGGAAACTCAGCTGATTCTCATGTCTACAAACAAATCAACTGCACAAAAAACCGCTTGAAGTTTCAGCTGGAACGGTTTCCGAGAATTCGAAGTAGGTTTCTTTGACACCCACACTACATACACAAGGCTGATGAGAACCCTTCGACAACCCACCACGAGTTTTGTCCTTTTTGGGACTTCTCAGATAGACTTGGTCCCTCGGGGACTCAACTGGAATTTGACTCTCGTTTATGCTACTTTTCAGCTGTATATTCCGCATTATAAACGAAGGATACGGTTGAGATTCACTTTAGTCTTGCATTGATATTGAAACAACTTGTAAATGAGAACATTCACTCGTCTTGACAAGCAAGAGTGAACAAAACCTCACCGATTGGCATCAAGAAGACTGAAATAGATAGTGGACAGTCCCTGAGGTTTCAACAACCCCACATAAATAGCGGTCTATCGAGAGTTCAGTTGTACAACTATGTGGAGATGCAACTTACACCGGACATTATTGAAAATATCATGTCCATATATCAAGGAAAATTAATCGATTCAATCTATCAAACTCACGGTTAAGTATTTGGTGAAAGTAAGTACTGAGAAAGGTGTGATGTACTTCCGGCTTCGTGGTGAACCGGCTTTTGGACAGGATGTGAGCATGCCTGTATGTCACTGTACGTAGATGCACCCATGTATGGGCGGACTGACGTGGAGCGAGGTGTCGCCCTGCAATAATTCGAGGTAGTTTTATACTACTATTAACAACGTCAGTAGTGCAATAATTCGAGGCAGTTTTATACTACTATTAACAACGTCAGTAGTACATTTATTACGAAAGTCTAACAATCCTTTCCTCCAGGACTGCCAGCCACATAGTGCTGGAAACCCAACTGCCAATACCACACCGATCAAAACTGGACAACTTGTCTACGCTGATGTCGGCATTCGGGTCATGCACAGTTCTGCGCTGTCCTTTTCAGCGCTGTCCTTCGATGAGTTATCCAGCGATTCGGATGATGAACTTGATGATACGGATCACAACTCAGCACCAAAGACTCAGTTTGAAGCGGCCCTCAGACGAGCTCACCTGGCGCAGAAGCAGAGGAAGGTGAGCATGTTACACGGTCACTTTCATCTGGAGCAACTATTTTGTAATGTCGCCATCTTTTCTCTTACCGTCTTCCAGCGACCTTTTTATGAATAATGGAAGATAACATGGCACTGGTTATCTGTTCTCACATTTAGGTTGAGGCTGATGTCATATTCAGGTGGGTCTCCTCCAAACGAAGCCTCTCAGTCTTAATAGGTCCTAACATGGGCTGTCATTGTGGGGCATACACTAATGATCCGTTCTGATATCTCACCTGTACACAATTTACTGGGTACTGCTCACTACCTCCCATAGATTGGCCAAGACATATTGCTCGTAGAAAATAGAACGACAACACATCCACGGAGATAATCACTCGCCTTGTCTGCTGGTTATTTCTTGTCATGACCCACTGATGTTTGATCTGGCCAAGCAACGATTTGTGACGTGATTGATTTCTCTGCTAATTTAGCCCTTTGATTTTGTACATGATGGAATTTCCACCATCTGCTCCCTGTATTCTTATTTTGCAATGTATTCACCCATCAGATGATGCCAACGTCCAAATTAGAAATACGATGTAGCAGTGCAGAACTATGTAAACAGGGTTAAAGACCGAATTTTAAGCACAGAGGGAGGTTTAAAATGGCAGGCTTGTTTGTGTGAGATGAATGAGTTCATAACTTGGGAATTAGTCATACATGCGGTAGTAATTAGGCTTGTCCGTGAGGTTGTACGGTTGCTGCACGCGATTTGGACAAAAGTTGATGATGATGCCACATCACATCTAAATTAGGTAAAGATTCACTGGTAGGTCTGGATATTAGCCGCTGGAAGCATTCACGGACCGCTGGTCACCTGTTCGTCCAGCTTCCGGGTTGACCTCCGGAAGTCTACTCACCACACCAGGAGACAGCGTCAGGGAAAGGGTGGTGCACCAAACCGCTTGCGGCATTTCGTGTGATATTAGTCTTAGCAACAAGCAAAACTAGTCCATCTGTCGTTATCGCCCTTGCGAATTAAATCACAGCGCGACGTTGTAGGGTTTTTCAAAAGAACAGGATGTGATGTCAAGTTGTCTGCACTACGTAGATCTGTCCAAAACAAGGACCCAGTGCATTGTTCTACCCTCTGTTATGGATTTTTGTCTTCGGTGAGACTGGTCGGCGGCACCGTCGGTGGACGGAATTTCGGCTGAGAATATCTTTTGGTGAGTGTACACATTTCTAAAGTGTTCTGGAAAGTATGTGGTCGCCATCAGACATTCACGGGACTTCCTAGTCATCTGATAGAATTCACACTTATGAACGTTTGATTTATATGAATGTTACACGAACGAGGACTCAGCAGATATCCTGGTTGTGTCAGTCAATTGAACCACGTGTCCGGGCCTCTCAGTGTGAATGTGAATCCTACAAACCCCTCGATCGGTCACAGCTAATCAAGAAGTCCTCTAGAAAGTATGGAGCTTACGTGGCACTGAAAGGCTGATCCTTCAGTCGATACAATCAGGACAGTTACTGGGTCGATGTTCGAGAATTCCGGGAAACCAATCACATCAATCAGGCATGAACATGTTCGGCCGTTCAAGTGTGGTAATTGGGAAACATCAAGCTTGTGCTGGTGGATTAGTAGCCATACGCTCGCTTCGCAATTCGGGTGTCTGGAGTTTGAACCTTCACAATACCAAGGATACACATTTCTGATGAGTTCTAATAAGAGCGAAACTCGAGTCATGTGCTTCCCCACTCTGCAGTAAACTGACCTGAATATCTGCACTAGGACAAGAGGATGACCCTTCAAAGGAAGATGCTGTAATTACGATTCATAAAAATCCTGTAAGCACGTGATTGTTCAGCAAACTTTACGAGTCTCCGGAGAATCCACTTTGTTGCACAGCCATGGCAATCTATCGTATCCTTGTTTGAGTTGAACGGTTGCATCCCTTTTCTCTTGGTCCCCCTATCATGATCCGTGGAAGAATTTATTATTCAGCTTTCACATTAGTCGGCTTCCTCTCTAAGTGTCTGTTTTTGGGAACTGCACTACAATGGGACGAGCCACCTGATTCATCACCGCTTCATGACCGCATATCGCAAATTAGCACAAACTACTCAGGGGCCGGAAGTAGTTCGTAATAAAGTAGTTTTTAGCCTACTGGTGCAGCTGTGTTTGTGCGTAAAACGTACCTTCGATTCAGTTCTCAGAGATATCGTTGGAGTGAAGAATTCACGAGGAGAACATTTGACTCGAAATATATGATTCTATACATCTTCGTAGGCATAATACTTTTTAAGTCCACCTGACCTCTAAGTAAAGATGAATGTTGATGTACTGAGTATCTTAGATTTACTGACAAACAGTGAAGGATGAGTCTACGGGTTTGTTAGAATAGCGGAATGTATCGAACGTCAGGTTAGATGGCCGCCAAACTACAAAGGACTTCAAAAGAATTAACTGTTTATGTTCCGACACTCGTTCAGTGGGATTTTCTCTACAAAAATCACTAGCCGAACAATCATTACTCTTTCTCTCAGACCACCAGCATGGGACTACCTGCCCGACGCGCGATGCCAGATTGGGGCTCACCCATACAGTGGTCGAGAGTTCAGCGCCCGGGATCCCCAGAACAGTCACAAGTAAGGCTTTTTCCAATTGTTTTACCATGTTACTGATACTCGTTTGAATTAAAAATATATAGTGTAGAGGATCCAAGAGCAATTACGTAACTAGAGTATAAAATGAAACAAAGAATAGTCAAGGTTTCGTGATCAGTGATCGAAGCCTGTGCACACCACATATATCAGGATATCTCGTACAAGTTAATGCTTACAAGACCGATTTGTCATGGCGATTTTTTTCAATTCACAACGGCCCGTCCGTGCGTCAGGGCAGAATATTTGGAGTTATTAGAACTACGATCAATCAACCACGGAGTTCGAACGAGAACGATAGTCAAACTGGGACATTTGGCAGGCTGAGTGTATTGGTGAATACGCGCAGTTGCCGATGTACGAAAGGAAGCGAACAAGAGCCACAGCAAAAACGTACAGTAAGAGAGTCGCGGCACAATTGAACCAACAGCAGTAAAAAGGGAATGGAACAATACAACATCAACAGTAATCGAAGCCACATTGGTAATAACACATATGGATCCATCGCTCAAGTTGGATCTGTTTCAACCATTGTTTTCATCCAAAACGATAAAACATTTCTTCGACTGAATTTTTAGGACTAAACAAATTAGGGAGAGGAAATTCGAGCTCACCCCAGGGGAATTCACCCTCCGGAAAAGTCGACAATCTAATTAGAGATTATCAGTGGGAGTCAGATCCACAGTTTTTCGAAATGCGTATTTATTAGTAGAAAAAAATTTGTTATACGGTTTAGCAGCTTGCAGCCAAGTTCAGAGATAACGTACATTATTCTCCGGAGGGTAGCAGAAAGATGTGCATCTGTCTCAACGACACCCTCACTATCGACGTCATCGCGGAAAAAGAATTTCCCTCCGAATAAAACCTACTTTCCTTCATCCTCCTCTGTCCGGAAGCCAGCCGTCGCTAATAACCGAACAGCACATCATTTGGATGGATGTGTCACGTGCAGGCTATGTGCCGAACGAAGGCATGCCCTGATTGGTCAGAATACCAGCCAATCTGGACTGAGCATCTTTAGCTCGACGTTTCTCGCCCCTTCACGGAGATCCCAGCATGACCTTATGCCTTATAAATACAGTTGCGATAATTTTCCTTTGTCTCTAAAAAGGACTGACTGAAGCTACCGTGCTTTTTGATGTAGTTTAGCGGGCGGAGCAGGAAGCCAAGAACCGATACAGAGTTGCACAACCGTTCAGCAAGTCACAACACATCGGACTGAACAGCAAATATCTTTATTATAAATTAGGTTGGCTGTTCCATAACCTAAAGAGTTTCGCAGGCCTCCCTTGAGCATAATCTTTTCGATGGATCTTAAGCTAAGGTTGTTTTTTGGTCCCACTCCTGCATAAAATACGTCCGGTAACTGTAGGATTTAGAAATGGTCTAAACAGCATCACATTCACAGACGTAGTACACTGCTCCTAAGGTTGATGAAAATTCTTTGATAGCCCACGACCGGTTTCGCCCTTCTTGGGGCTCATAAGATAGGCGCAGTCTTCGTTCCACTTGAGACCGGATTGCATTTGTTTGCAAACAAATTTGCCTAGAAACATCATAAGCATGGGATTCAGCTGGGTTCCAGGTGAGTCTCTCTCACAACCAAATTTGTTTGCAAATGAGTGCATTTCGCCAACCACTTTTAGTTCCTCTGTGAAACGGCAGTTTTCAGAATAAATCTTGAAGCGGTTTCGTCTTCTTTGCCAAGTATCACTGAACAAAATGCACAGTTTGACTCGATAGGTCGTACCATCAACAAACGAGTTTCAGGTAGAGTGATATTCTGGCGTTCATAGTTTCTAAGTCTCGGTCACATGCACTGTCAGGAGCGCAGTCTATATGTTGACACAGATGAAAACTCATCTACCAAAGTAACCCCGCATGGTGTGATAATATATGGAAGGAATATTGGAAAGTTCCACATCCGATTCACATCTGAGAGGCACGGATTACAGCCAGATTATCACTTTTTGTCTGAAAACTGGTTTTCAGTAAGAAGAATGAGGCAGTGAGTTGTGGACTGAGTGGAAATAGTTAAATAGTTAAACAGTGGGTTGAAAAACTTCGATTACCATGAGATTCCCTGGAAAAAGGAAAGGGTGCCTTGGTTCCGAGCACTAGATTCAGCTTGATGGTGGTATGGTTCCGTTTCAGAGGTACAAACTAAGTGAACAGAGGGTTTGGGGTTCGAACCCAACCCTGACATCTCGGCAGCTTACCTCTGGGATGGGGTGACCTCACACGGTCTTAGCCCCCGTGCTTCCCTCTGGGGTCACTGCAGCTAGATACAGAACAGATGTTACACCTAAACAATTACTGTTCCTTTATAATGTATTTCATTATTGTCTATGATACATTTGTCATGGCTGAGGAGGTTACGAAACTATTCCAGCAGGGTTTTCACCTTTATTGAGCTTAAACGTCTCTCTAGCGATTCATCAGATCTGCTAGCGATTCTCAACAAGAACGAAACATCCGCACAGTGCTTCACGGCTTTGTAGCATGGACAGAATTCACCCGCAGAATGAAGTTTCCATCAGAGCTGAAGTGTTGCTCTGTTTGCCTGTTAGTCTTAACCTGTTAGTCTTGAGTATTACAAAGTAAACCGGTTATTTTGGGTACTAGTTTCCTGAGAAAATGATGAACGCAAAAGATGAGGCCCTACCCCGTTCACCGGTTATCGCTTACCGGCGCTCACTTGATTTATAACAAAGATGGAGACAGTTTGGCGAAATACACTCATTTGCGGGAGACTCACCAGGAACCCAGCTGAATCTCTCGTTTGTGATGTTTTCAGGCAACTGAATGTGCTGCACCAGGCCGCCTCATGTTTCAGTCGCTACGGTGCTCGAGATATCGCGATACATGTATATGATTTTGTAATGCACTACTCATAAGGTTGCTGGAAATTCGTCGACACCCCACGACCAGTTTCGCCCTTCTTGGGGCTCATCAGGTAGGCGCAGTCCTCGAGTTTCCATCAACCTTATGCTCTACTTGAAACCAAATTGCACGAAATTAGCGAATATACACTCATTTGCAAACAAATTTGGTTTTGCGGGAGACACCCGGAACCCAACTAAATCAAATCTCTCGTATGTTTCCAGGCAAGGAAACGGTTTGCACAGATGTAAAAACATTACTCATAAGGTTGCTAAAAACTCAGTCACAATGGAATTCACGCTTCCCCTTTGGGCTCATCAGATAGGCAAAGTCCCTTGAGTTTCGGTCAACCTGATGTTCTGCTTGAATCCGAATTGTACGAAATTAGACAAATGCACTCATTGCATACAAATTTGGTTGCCACGGGACACTCATCTGAATCTTTGTTCAACTGAATGTGCCGCACCCGATCGCCTCATATTTCACTTGTTAAGACATTCAAGATATCGCAATACACCATATAAGCGCTACTCATAAGGTCACTGAAAACTCTTAGTTTGTTTCGGTAGTCAGTTTGGTCGGCTTGTGACACAACACGGTAACACAGGCTCTCAATCAATGGGTTACGAATCTATCATTTTGGCAGCTAGTTCGTTTGGTAAACGCCCTGTGACAAGCATTTCCAGCTTGCAACGGATTGATCTAGTTACATCTCACCGAATTTCAGCACTGCATCGACTAATTGATTAAATTATGGGTAATCGATATTGAAACGTTCAAATGGACGCGCGATGCAAAGTAACCTGTAGCACCAAAATGATTGGTCACTTTGAATTTAAAGGTGCTTCACTCTAAGCTCGTGATAACCTTGAGGTTCATAGAATGGTCGTTACCAAAGTACAAGCTCACTTTTTGAACAGACCAAGCCTGTACAACAAGAAGCTTCGATGGCTTCAAAGGTAACAGAATCGAGTCTTCATAAGGTTGTATTCTCTGAACTCAAAGAAAAAAGAGTGTGATGAGTAGTGAGCATAAAAGGCACCATCTAGGTTGCCCATGGGGTGATAAAGGGGAATTCCTGGTGAATGACTCACAGAATTCATCTATGTGATAGCTAAACTTCATGTAATGGAAAACAGATGGGATATTCACAGGACACTTGACGGTCCCCTGGTTGTGAAACGTGCTTGCAGAAACCACGGCTATAGTTCGGTCGACGTTGTCCATTTAGCGTAATTATTAATCGATTCTCCGTGCGCCAAAAATGTGATAGGAGACATGACTCCAACACCAGTGTGCTGCTGGCAGAAATTGCTCGACACCATCACGAAGTGAATGGCGGAATGTTGGAACTTCAAGGCTACGTTACAGCATAACTCACTGGAATGCATGGGAAGCCGTTATCATCTACTGGTGAACGCGATACCACATTGTGTGTCCTTAAGGGTGTTAATTTTTAGCTTCAAACGTTTAACAGGACGCATAATGCGGAAGTAAACGGTTCTTACCCCTGACAATTATATATATATATAAATATATAAATATATATATAATGGTTTATCGCAATAAAATTTTGAATCGCACATGAAATTCTTCGTGAAAACCATAGTACTGAAATGTATCAGTAGTTTCAGTTTGATTCAAACTGAAGTTATCGCGCAATTACAAAGAAGGTTACAGTCAGATTGCTCATTATTCATCCAAGTCATCAAAAATAACAAAACAACAGTACCAGTGAATTTGAATCCCGCAACAACAATAGTAAATTTTAGAAACAGAAACTTTAGTACCAACGAACACAAAAAATCACATTCGGCATTGTTCACAAAGCCGAACCACATTCCGAACAAACAAGTCGATCGATGGCTAATCCGACTAACGTGAACATAGCTCACACGAGTCACGAGTAGTTGTGTTCACTACTGGATTCCGGTTGTGTATCGATTGAGTGCTTGAAGAAAGGCAAACGAGTTTGCAAAACACACCCTCTGAAACTATGCTAAAAATGAAAAGGTGCCGTTTAGGTTATGTAAGAGCCGTAATCCAATGGATCGATCGTAGTCGTTTGACTTAATTTTCCTAAGTATGGTGGATGGATCGGTTCCTTGTAGTAATCCGGATCGGTGAAAGGATTAAAATGCATACTAACGTTTCAAAGACCCGGGTTCAATCCCATTCTATTGAGACTACCATTCAGGGCACAACAACCGACCGAGATTTCACCACTCCAAATTCTGGTGACTAAAATTGTCGGGATTGACTCCGTGTAAGAATCCTTTGAACAGGTCTGAAATTTTTTAGTGGACAGAAGCCCTGATACATTTGTGGTATTCGTTTCTGAGCAGATGAGTAAATTTCGTGCGTGCTTGGTTGTAAACTTGATTTAATTGCATTCTCAAAAACTCGCTTCTGTAGGAAAGACTATAAAACGGCTCGTGTTTCTTGGTTTGTTATGGGCATGGATTACCAAAGAAGCTAACGCATCCCGTAATTACACGACCTTCTCGCCAGATGCTGACGTAAGGATGATGACGTAAGGGTGCTTTTGTTGGCAGTTAGCGAGCCAGTTTGTACCCCACTACACTTTTCTAATGCTTCCCCCGTAGAACTGAAACTAGATATCCGTTCCTCTAGGCGATAAACATTGAATATCTCCTTAAACTGCCTACCTCGGATGGATACATACTTCACCCAAAGTGTGAACCTTAGTTCTGAAGGGCGAGATGGTCCAAGTGGTTAGAGCACACATCTACTGACCGGAAGGTCCATGGTTCGAACCCGACCTCTACCTCTAAACTTCCCCTGTCTAGGTTCTGGTAGTCTTCCAGCTCTCATGCTTCCTTCTGGTGGCATGACAGTTAGGCACCGAAAGGGTGCTACAGATGAACGACAAACGGAGCGAACCATATTGCCATTCAGACACTCGCGGCTGAACGGTTCCGCCTTCAACTACCAATCAGAAGTTTGCATGTTAAAAAGATTCGTCAAACAATAGGGACGAAACAGCTGTACAATATTTTTTGGCTTTCGAGCATAGGTGGCTTTAATTACCAGGCAAAGTCCTGCTACAAACGCAGGAAACTCCCACTGCCCGTTTGTCAAGTTGATATCCGATAGGGTTGGTTACAACACCCGCATTCACATGTGCCGCGTACCTCAGATCACAGTTCTCTGTCCAGCTTTCATACAAGGTTTACACAAGGACTCGATAATTTTTTATCCGATCTTCGTTTGTACGAACCAAAAGCATTCAAACGGATTGTTTTAATGATAGTCTGGAAGCGCTGAACGGAAAATAAAGCACAGACTGATTTAAGCTGTTTTTAAGTTGATAAGGCCATTAGGATTTAGCTTGGCAATAGAATACAGCCAGTGGGTCATGTCGTGTTCTAACATGACCGGTGGATTAGCGGACACTGAAAACGAAACATCTTAAAAGATTTAAAGATATCGTGTGTTTTTATCGTTAGCTCAGCGCTTTGTGCTAAAACTCAGATGTGTCGTGTCTATTTTTAGTGCTATCCAATTCTTCCCTGTGGCCTCCTGCCGAGTGAGGATTATGCATCCATAAGTAGTTTATCTGCGGTGTTTCCCCGGGTATTGATGCGAAGGGTTTTAGCACACAGTACATCGCACATACTACGCAGAATGCGACACTCATGGTAGACGGTGTTAGTTGTTGGTTCTTGAGTTATGTTTCTCACCTCAATGCTTCAGCATCAGCAGCGTTGACAACACATTTGGGCGAATCAAGGCTTAATGGTGCGACCAGAGCATCTGTCTGTTGAAACGATTTGGTGATCGCTATCTCTTGGAAAGTACTTTGGGTTGCACTTTGGTCAACCTGATGTTATAGAAGCATTACGTGGCTGACGCCAAGAAACAAGACCAGTCGAATGTCTACTAGGCCTGACTTTCATGCATTCGGCAAGTCTCTTTTGACTTGAAGATTCCACCAAGTTAAACGGTTAAGCGAAGATAAGCCTTTACAGGTGGATCACGGCACAAGATTTTGGGAGAAAACATGTTCAAAGCCGTTTATGAAAGGACCAAAAATGGCAGTTTACTACTTGAATAACTCACTACTAATTTGAAATCAGCCGAGTTAACGTCAGCAACGAGCGAAGCTGCACGCCTAGATTTAAATCAATATGCCGCTGGGTTACCAACAAACACAAAAGTGAGTCTTTGTATGCTGCTGGTGCCTTTTTTACCGTACAACATTCTGAACAATTTCTGGATTGAAAAAATAACATTCACAGTAGTATAAGCTTGTGGCTGTGGACTGGTTTCGTGCGATGTGGTGTACATATTGCCCCCACCGCATCATGCAGGTTTGTCAACCAAGTCTTGCTTTTCTGTAGTCAGTGGCGAAAGAAATACCCTGGATTTTCAAAATAATAGAGAGCAACGTAGAATTTGGGCTTTGGTTGGGGATTTTACTACAACTTTTGGTTCCGAAGGGACGTGCTTCGCTAGTTGTTCCAGTGTAGTACGATGATTCGGCTCATTTGAATGGGTGTCTAGGCATCTTGGAATAATTGTATTGGGCTGGTAATAATTCGCGGCACATCTACTTCTATCCTTTCCCTCACAACATGGCTTTTGAACAAATTGTGGTCGCATGGCAGCGCAGTATCAGTGCTGAACACTGATGTCGTGCCATCTATGATGATGACAGTGGTTATGCAGGAACGACGCTCACAGGAATTCAGTATGTACTAGAAGCGCTCCGGTAGTTATCTTTGAACTCCACAGACAGCACGTAACTAAGCGCTTGACGACGAGAGAATGAGGTTTTTTTTAACTCTTATTCATCGAAGTTTAACTTTTTGCGCCACACAAATTCAAAAATAAAGAGTTTCATATGGGATATGTTGTTGATGACCTCACTGGTTCAGGCAAACCAATTTCTCTCTTGAAGTTGTTGCAGTCATGTACACAAGGAACCATCTGCTTTATATACCAAAAAAGTAAACTAATCTTGCGGCTTTATCAGCTCATTCAAACGTACGTGGAATCAATCAGCGGTTATTCTAGCGAAACGGTTGCCAAAAAAGTGAATTTGGTTCACCTTTCGGTTGTGAACCTTTCCTATAAACCAAACCACCAATACTGTTGAGTAATCTGGATGAATAATTTATGTATCTATGTTCTTATCACCTCACTCGCACTTTGAAAATCATCGATCAGATTACCTTGTCATCGATCTTGCGTGCTGCACAGTGATCGACGGGTTACTTTCCCATTACCCTTAACAAACGCCACTGTATATGCTATTGAATCTTTTGACACGCAACTCCGACTGTGCTCAACTAATCCTTTATTGATTTGCTTTTAGAATAGAGCGAGCAGGGTGTCGGTGAAAGGACACAAAATCAACAGCCCTTGATTTTTTCCACACCAACAAATTTTCTGTTTTATTAAATCGAACAGGAAGCTCGACAAAAGCACTCACTTACATACCGATTTTGTTTCGTCGGAAGACACCTGAATCCCAGCTGAGTCTCTCTTCATTGATATTCTTGACCAGCTGAATGTGATGCATCAGGCCGCCTCATTTTTTAGTTGCGCACCATCTGAAATACCACACCGCATTTTGCGGACAATAACATACTACTCACAGGGTTGCTGAAAAATCTTCGACAGCCTACGACCGTTTTCGCCCTTTTGAGGCTGACGAATCCCAAGAAGACTTGTCGAGCTGTCGAAGAGTAAACTTATGAGTAGTTTCCTCCATGAAAATATACTGCGATTTATAGAATATCATACCAACTGAATATGGGGCACTCTTTCTGCAGCACATTTAGTTAAATGGATCCGTCTGCGTTCAGGGCGAGTCTCCCATCAAAACGGATTTGGTGTAAAAGTGAGCGTATTAGTCGAGTTCTGTGCAATTTGGGTTCAACTAGGAGATATGGCTGGTGGAAACTCGAGGACTGTGCCTACCTGATTAGCCCCAAAAAGCGCAAACCTGGTTGTGGGCTGTCGAAGAATTTTCAGCAACCTTATGAGTAGTGCGTTGTCTATTCAAATAGGAAATTTTTAGACAGAAAGAAGAATACCTCCTGATAAGCCATCGAAACAGGGATTGTCGGAAAGCTATCTTTTGATAATTAGTAGTAAAATCGTTTCATTCCCTCAAAAATTGTCGATTTTAGCAATTACTCTAAACATGTCTAAATGACGTTGCACACTTTTAGCAAGCAATACAATAATTAAGCCTATTTCCAATCTAAACTGATGAAAGAATTCGGCGAATAGTTAGTTGGCTTTGATGGTACGTGTGGAAAATTTGAATTTGTTGATACGAAAAGGGTGTGAGAAAATCAATAAAACTGGTGACATTGATGGTGTCTCGTGTTATACCTCAGAGTCAACTGAAGAGAATAATCGATAAGCTATTTAAAGCCTGGCTCATCAATTTTCCACAGGTTCCAAAAAAACTCAACTTTCACTCGATGAGTCCACCACCAACCTTAGGAGATTCCAGTTCCCCTTCAGCTGAACCAGAATCCCCAATATTGCCCAATGGAAGGGACTTCTGCACAGGCATGGAGATATGGTTGAACAATCGTACGCACTGGATCTATAAAACGCACAGGGTAAGCCATTTACTTTGACTGGGTATGAAGCACAATGGATGGTTGGATGCAATTTTCCTCGTGTTCTAACATTACCCATGTTACGTGAAGCAAACGTGAGATTTTCCAGATCTGTAACTCAACAAAAAAACTTTGATTGTGGTCGCTTTTGAAGCGCATTTGCCGTGAGAATCTGAAATCTAATTACTTTTCTGTATATGTGAGGAGGGACCACACGAATTACCGCGCTCAAACACACTGCGTCGGTTTTTTAAGTGTTGACCTCATGATGACGTGCTCAATTCACCTAGGAACATTTTCCAAAACAAGGTCGCTCATTTGTTTACACGCACCTGATGACAGATTGTGTTTTTGTGTGGTATTCGTGAACTAAGTGTGGTTGCGTCACAAAATCAATGTTCTGACCCAGCAATGACTGAAACGTATAAATATTGGTGCTCCGATCGATCATTCCAAGATCAGTTGATGTGATGTTTCTTCTGGTCCTTCTATTCCATCTACGGCAGTGTTGTGGTTTTTGAATTCGCTTGAAAAAAGACATGAAGTATACTTCGGAATCGCTGAAAGTCGAGACTATGTTGGTACTTTGTTTAGTGGTTTGGACTGAGGTTGGCTGGGCCACCAAACAGTGTTGATAAAACTGAGGTGTCAAAATTGAACATGGTGTTTAGCGTGGATGTGGCCTCTTATGATCACCCGCTCACTGGGGCCTTCATCTTGCCATCCATGGGAGATATTCACTAATCTACTGGATCACATTAGTAGTGGAGCTAATGAGGTTCTTCCATGTATATACAGCGGCATGAAGCTGAGCAACACAGGTGTCCTCACATCGTTTTAGGCCGGTATCTCCAGTGACAACTTTAGTTGGGGGCGAGATGGCTCAAGTGGTTAGAGCGCGAATTTACTGACCGGAAGGTCCGTGGTTCGAACCCGAACTCTGCCTCTCGACTTCCCCTGTCTAGGCTTGGGCAGCCTGGCAGTATCTCAGCCCTCGTGCTTCCTTCGGGTAGCATGGTAGCGACATAACTATATATATACATATATATGTATATATAAGGTTGGAAGCTGGTCACGAAAGAGCAACATTTGAGCGTATCAAGCGCCACTAGATACTGTTGGAACGAGGCTGAAATCGAAAGATTTTCTCAAGTTTTCGCGACTTCTCAAGAGTAGCCGCTATTTCGCCCAACACCAATTTGAATGTAACATCACAGCTTCGATGTAATTCGGCATTTAGACAAGGACCTTATTCCCTGCTTTAGCTGAGTAGGTTTCGCTAGGTGAAGATTGTATCACCTTCGTAGGCCTTTTGGTAACAAACCAGAAAGTGCAGGCGCCACCCTATGGCGTACGAGATCCGTTTGGTGGCTCACTGTTTTGTGTTTTCAAATCGCTATGTTTCTGTAATCAGGAATGAGTTTCACTCACTATTTGGATGTTAGCTAAGTATGTTCCGCAGTTTAGGATGGTGTGTGAGTATCTTTCTAAAACTTACTCGAGGGTTATTCAACATTTAGTTATGCCGGTTATATTTGATTCGAATTTAAGATAAATTAGATGCATTTCACCGTGTTCCTCTGAACTGGCGCTGGGAAAGCTTCATTGCAGTTGAGCTTCTCTTTTCATGTGACTCCAAACGGAGACACTTTTCCAACTGAGCTCAATTTTGAGATCGATAATGGTCAAGTATGACGTTGTTGGTGATGTGCACATGTTGTGTACAGCATAACTAAGGTCACATGCTATCGACCTTCAACGGGTTCACCTAAGTAATAGTGATTGACTTTCTAAATCTTTTTCTCACGAAGAATGCAAGCCCATTCAGTTGCCAGTTGACATTTTGTGAGGGAATTCATAACTTGTCACCGGGTGAGGAAGTGAGAAGTATGATGATTTTAACTCTTGTATAGCTTCTTACAGTTGAATTTAAAATCCTTGTTTTCATGAAAGACTAACGTACCATACCAACTTCACAATCGAGTACCACGGAATATTTACCAACATGTACTGTTAGTGGTGAGTTTGGCCGCATTGTCGAGGGAAACACCTGTTTCCGCATCCGAGAAACTGACAGAGATTGTCCCTTCCCAGTAATTTCTACCAACGGATATTTCTCCGTTTTGCACAATTCACTTCACAAGTCCTGGAGACGTCATTCAGTGGAAGCTTATTCTAAATTATCTTCTGCCTTGGGGCGGCTTTCTTTTTCTCCCATTGTATGCCATCTCTGTATCGATTTATTTTATCCTTCATCTCAGCCTTTTTGCACTTTACCCTAAGGATAGAGTTAGCTGCTGGTTGAGTTGGAGGAACCCCTGAAGTGTGTTGCACTCATAATCCGAACGAATGCGGCACCCATAGGTCTTTTTTCAGCTCTTCAGGACATCGTTCAGGTTATTCCTTATGGCAAGCAGTATAGATTAGTTGGTGTTCTTGATCACCAGAATTCGATTACAGTCCTGTTTTTTAGTCGTAGGGGCTTGTATGCTAATATTATGGCGCTTTAGGCTTCGGCAGTGATGGACTATGTGCGTGATTAGCTCTTGTCGCGGAACAATCCTCTGTCGAGCATGGTGCACGATTTATTATCTCACAGCTATGATCCTCAAACATGGACGCACAGTTTGAAACAGTTTCTTGCCATAAAACTTACCAAAGCGGAATATTACCTTAATTAGCTCAAGTAGCATGTCAAGCACTCACTGAATTTCGCAGGATGTTTGTGCACTGCTTTGACTTTAAATGCGGTATCTCCGATCTTGTGACTGGCATTGCATATCGGGTGTTACAATGGGTTGGAGAAACTTCAATTCAACTGGCAATGGTTGGATTATCTTGGTTACGTCAACAGCTGCGCACTCAAGTTAACTTATGTGATTGTCACATGGCCGAGCTCTATGCTATTCACACTGTCCACATACCACATTCTTATTGGCTGTGTTGTTTCGTGTTCTTCATTGGTCGTCTTGGCTAGACGATCTCGTGACCGCACTGATCTGTGATTGGTCTGTTCAAAGTCGAAACATCACTCGCAACTGAGGTTGCTCAAGTTGTAATGTTTGTGTTGATTTGGTCTTGTCCTTCTGACCCGTGTGGCTGCGGCACAATGTCGTGGAATGAACATCGTATATTCTCACAAACTAACTGTTGTGTACAGATACTGAATGTTGTGTCAGGCCATTACTGTGAATATTTATCTTCCTTCCCATCTTGACATATTCATCACCATCCTCATCCTCATTGTAATCACTCTGCCGCTGCTGCTGCTCCTTGTCACCTTTGCGGACGATCTTTGGCAAGACAAACACTCAAGCCTTTCAGCTCTGCTTCCTAAACAGTTTCGATCAGGAGATCGACAACCCGATGTCAATCAAAGACCCAGCGGTGGAGCAACAAACCACTAGTCTACCGAACGATGATCAACCTCGCCAGTTCTTCGAATACGGAGTTGACGCTAACGGTTGCATCGAGTCCTGTGATGACTCACAACTTCCTATACGTGCACCAGAACTGCATCTCATGGACCAGATGGTCGCCGGTACTCACCTCACCCGGCACAGCCCACTTCGAGGCAGAAATGCTAGCGAAGGAATAACAGATCGATTGGACGAGGTCAGCTCACGCATGCATCATTGTTGTTTATGTGCCATTTAAAAGGGTCATTCTATTCATTGTTGTATAGTGCCTTGAGTTATCGTTGTACGACCAAGTGCTTCTAGCCGGTAACTACATCCCTTTTAACATATTCGATCCGAAGTATTTTAAAACTATCACATAAGACCCATCACAGTAGCCAAATTGTGATCGAATTTGACCGTATTTTTGCTGGTTTTTTACGCAGTTAACGCATCTGGTGGTTGAATACCGAGCTCACTGTTATAACTCTAACAAGCTTGATGTACGAAACGCGGTGAAGAGAGACAATTCACACTGTATAGGCACTTGGTTCGAACAGCTCGCACCAGAACCATCGGCTTCTTCTAGGGGGTAGCTTTTCCTGAGTCGGCACCTCTTCAAGTCATGCATACCTCTAAAAGGCTTACCGACACCGTTCTCGCCCAAGGATGTTCAACAGACTGCGCTTTGGGTGTTCGCATCCGCTGTGAAATGGTAGCTTGTGCGTTTGGTGTGTACCGCTGAACTTGCTGTTTGAGTCAGGTTGAATTCCGCAACTATGACTGAACGGGTGCAAATGTGTAGTGTGTTTTTTTGTGTGTACTCAGTTGAATACTTCTCCTGACTCTTGCCCGTAATAATCTCCAGGTAAGTGTACTGAACAAAAGTTACCATAAAATAGATCTGGAGACTGTGGAAGTTTTAAGACGGGGACTGCGATTCACGCCACAGCGGCTGATAGCCGGGGCGGTAAAAATTACTAGGCATCCAGCGTGAATAGAATCGAAGGTGTGGAACTGGCGAGCTTATGGAAAGCGGTCTTAGATAAGCTGAGTTCACATGTGACGGTGTGGTTATCAATCCATGTAGAATCATTAGAAAAAACCAGGGGGTGGGGGTGAAAATCCCAACCGAGCAAAGGTCACAGCATCCCTCTTACACAACTATCATAGCACTAGCTCACCCACACAGACTGACAGAAGGTTGCAACGAAGTTCAA